ACACACACACACACACACACACACACACAGTGCGACGGAGGTCACTTTAGCCCTAATTGCGTTTCTGGATGAGAATGCTGATTGTGAATTTTCAGTAAGAAATTGACATCTCTGCTACAATCACACCTGCCAGATACGTCCAATTTAACTTTCTTCATAATAAATTCTAACCCTGCTTAATTGACGACTCAGAATCTCATCAGCTGAATTTTAATGGGTTTTAAGAAAAATGTCTGACATGGAAGAGAAGGAATTCGATTATTTTTTTCATAAGCACCCTAATGAGACTAGCTTTCAATCACTGATTTATGTTGGAGAGAAGAGGAGATGAGAAGCGCTGGACTCTGTGGGGCTTTGCCAGTTTTCTTGTTCGGCCCAGGAGCTCAAAAGAAAAATGATTAAGCTTATTAGACAGAGAGCTCTATTGAAATTCACAAATGGATTGATGTTATTTTCTTGGCTTTGTTAAATTGAAAAACCTCTGCAGATAAGAAAATAATAATTAAGGGACAATACTACTGTTGTGGACGTGTGAGGCTTTCAGATGCCAACTTGAAAAAGATTGTGTTTTTGAACATAGCAGAAAACTGAGCTTGGTGTACCCTGTGTGATTTTGCGCTATTCCACATGAGAGATGATCAAAGTGAAATAATTGTGATTATTTCTTTAGTTTTTTTCTCTCCAGATCAGTAGTCTTTTGTTGCACAGTGATGGTGAAAGTTGGCTGTTGCAGCTTGTCTTGTGATCAGAGATGGCCTGGGATCAAATGAAGGTTGGCCATCTCACAGCGTGACTGCTGCTTTGACCCGTGTCAACTAACAAAACAACAAAAATTGGGCATAAAATGATTTCACTCCATATCACACTGGTGCAAATGGTAAAAAATGGTAAAAACAACCTGATTATAAATAGACGGGGGTAAAAACGGAGCTCTGTTTGTGTCGGGGACGAAGAAGCATCATTTGTTTTGTGTGAACTAGCTGTAATGAAGACCAGGAGGGTGTAGCAAAAAATAATTAGTTGAGGAACTTTTTGCATACATCATACATTTGACATACATCAAAGGTACGCTGTATGGGGACCGTAATCGTGGCTTAGAGCAGTGGTCCCCTACCCCCGGGGACCGGTACTGGTCCGCAAGAGTTGAGGCTCAGGTGTGAAATTTATGGTTTTCTGGTTTTTTATCGTTAACTCAGTTTCCCTGGGTCTTTTCCTGTGTTGTAGTTGTGTGTTTTATTTTGAAAGAAATATTTTCCCATTACCATAGCGACCAGAGAGCATTAAGGGGCAGAGAGGAGGATGTTACTCTCAATGTTGTTGGCACATTTCAGGAGGATGGTGCTAATAAAGTTACACAATTACAAAGTGAATTCGTGTTTATTATTATATTTAAAATACCACAGTTTTTGTCTTGATCGTATCGTTTTATTTTATTATATTTATCCGCGACACCTTAAAGGCCGGTCCGTGAAAATATTGTCTGACATTAAACTGGTCCATGGGGCAAAAAAAGTTTGGGACCGCTGCCTTAGAGTTCCCAAATCCTATGTTTTTATGTCGGGAATGTTATTGCCGAACTGCCCTGCATCCCTTAAATATTGCAATTACTTCTAAATGACATTGCATACCTCCTCATTTAATTTGATTTGGTCTTGTACTCAAAGAGTTATGCAGACTTTGGTGTAATTTATTCTGCTTTATTGCAGCTGTGTTCATGACATAGGTGCTGTCATTATGCACTTCTTTTTTCTCACTTATGAGATGTCTGAAGTAGCGTGAAATTTGAGCTGGTGAACGGTATCTTAACGGGTACTCATTAACTAAGCTGTTGTGCTGTAGTTAGAATAATTGTTTTCTGATCACTGCGTCTGACAAGACGAACAAAAGGTTAATGACTGCAGCTGTGCCGCGAGATCACAATGGCATTTATGATGAGCGATGACAAAGAAGGGTAGCGACCTGTCTTTGTTTAAAGCATTGTGACTGCGTGAAACCGCCAAGCATTTTCCACAGCGCCGATGCAAATTCAGTAGATGTGGGTTTTGGGACACATTAGTCTTGACCGTGATTCGGTTCGAGGGAAGCACCCCTGCATCCTAATGCCCTCCTGGGAGTTGCAGTTTCAGCTGTAGGTGTTGTTGAGACCTGTCAGGCAGCCCGCACTCTGTCCCCTCTTGAACTCCATCCCCCAGAGAGCCACTGCCTCCCACAGCTCAGAGCGATTCATATCCCACGCTCTGGATGACCCAGAAGAACCACCGAGCCAAGTACATGAGTGTACACATTTACACACTCTCATCAACTACTGTAGCTGTGGGCTCTAGTACTTCCAAACATAAACAACATTGGTCACTGATTTGTGCACATCCGAAATTTAAACTCCTCATTAATGTGTATTCTTTACACAAGTTGAACACACACACAAAGATCCACTTAATGTGAATGCATCCTACTCTAAACAAAAGTATTAGATGATCTCATGCGCAAACTCACCAGGAAACACAAATAAACAGGCACACTAACACACACACAGACAAACAGTCAATCTAGTCTCACAATACACACACACACACACACACACACACAAAAACAAGCTGTTGACTCAGATACACACTCTTTGGGAAGATCACAGCACTTCCTGTATGAGCACACACCACCATCTCCAAACATCTGAAAGCTTGTAAACAGCAATATGTTTTGGAAGAGAACATGGGAACATGACACTTGGCGTGGTCAACCCGAGACGGCGCTCGGGCTTTTTAAACACTTCTAATCTTTTATAATCCGTGTCTCCTGTGTGGTCTGATGGCTTCCCTTTCAGCTAATCAAATGAGCTCGTGGAAATTTCCAGAGGTTATTTTTATTGTCATAACGTCGTGCCTTGTGTACAAGCGCGGGCTGCGGTGTTTTCGTTCGCGCTGCCCCTGTTGGAGGTTGTTATTTGGACCTTGGCCCACCACCCACACACTGGAACTTTTCAGAGTGAAGAGTTTTAATGGAAGGCATCCACTAATGCTGGGGTTTCTCAATAGGCTCTTCCTCGTATTGTTGTTCCCACACAGAGCCTGCTGCTCTGCGTTATGGGTGAGATGCACTGACAGTAAAGCAGGGCTGCCTGATTAGACTTGTGGCGATAAATCACATTAATTTACAATGGGATGATAATGGAATCTGTTTCTTTTATTAGCCCACATTGTTTGAGACGTAAAATTTGTTCCAGCAAATTTACATCAATCATCTCCAAACTGTCTTCTTCCTCAGCCTTTGCCGATAGTCTTTAACAGCTAAGAGTCAAGGTTTTCTTTTGTTTGTTTTTTACATACATAAGTATGAAAGTGGAACTTTTCCATTGAAAAGTAAAAAACAAAAATGTACAACAATGCTTTGACGCCCGGGTGTATGACCTGTTCCTCAGATATGCCCCTCCACGTCCGGCGCAGCAGTGACCCTGCTCTGATGACCATCAATGGGCCGTTCAGCGGCAGTGAGTCACGGGTCCAACCAGATGAGACGCCATCAAGGAAGAACCCAACCCGCTGGTCGACCACCGCTGGTTTCCTGAAAGCTCGCCACTCGTCTGGCACAAATAGCCTGGAAAGGAAGGTTGGTGCTTGGATGTGAAAACCAGACATGGCTTTGCGCTAGTTAATTTTGAATAATTTGACGGTAATGAAGGAAATTGCACACACAAAACTGCATGAGGGATGCCATTGTCTTTTTAGTACAAATGCACTAAAGGTTCCTTTGCATCTGTTATATATCAACATCTTGTTTTCGGCACCATAGAACTCCTTAAAAGCTGCTTTATGGCTTTTTGTACTTTCCCAAGCTGAAACTGATCACATTGAACATTTGCACCCTTCTGCTCTGTTTGTGCCTAAAGCCACATACCTCCACACTGTTGTTTAAGATGCACCTCCCAATAAGTGTGAATAAACATCATCGACTAAGAGATGCTCGTTGTATCTAGCTTGCTTGTATTTAACCACAGAAGCCACAACTCTGCTATTTGGATATCTGTGATTTTCTTGTTTTTGTAGCTCTGCTGAGCCACAGACTCACTTTACTTCCAACATCTTCTATCTCTCTGTTTAACTGTTTAATGTTTTGCTCCGAGCCCACCAGACACCCATCGACTTG